TCTGAGCTACCCAGGTGCCCCTAAGCCCAATTTTTCAATAACATTGCATGTTCGCTTTTATCATAATTTGGATTTTCCTAATGAGGAAACTGAGGTTGAGGTTTGAAAAATGACCTTCCCAAGGTCACAAAGAACTAAGTGCTGGAGGCAAGATTCAAGTCCAAATTTACGAACTCGGAGGACATGGTCTGTTCGTCAAATATATCACACTACTGCCTTGTTGAGAGCAGTTAACGTCAAGCAGTCGTGACAAGCAGTTAGTCCTTCCCGGAGAGGGGTATCCACCCTGACTCCAACAACCCTGACTCTGACTCTAAAGAACAGCACTTGGGGGCACCTGGGTGGCTCTGTGGGTTGGGCATCTGACTCTTGACCTCTGCTCAGGTCATGATCTCAAAGTTTGTGAGTTCGAGCCCCACGCTGATCTCTGCACTGACAGCACAGAGCCTGCTCGCGACTCTCTGTCTCTCTCTCTCTCTCTCTCTCTCTGCATGCATGCTCTCAAAATAAATAAACTTTTTTAAAAAGAAAAAAAGAGTACAGAATAACAACAACACTTAGGGACAAAGTGTTCCCAGAGTGTTCTGGGAACAGTGAAATACAGACAGAAAAGCTCCAAGAAAGCCATCAACGCGTGCCCCAGAGTGGGCCCGAGGCACACAAATAATTCATCCTCTCTGGTCTTTTCATCTGTGTCAACATTTTCCCTAACCACTCGCCCTGCTGCCAGGTGGCATCATCTCGCCCTTAATTTTACAAACACAGAATAATTTAATATTACAGCTACGTTATTTTTTTTTCATGTTTCAAGTTATTGAAGTTTTACTTAGCACACAGCATAATATTCATTTCGGGGGTGTATAATTTAGTGATTCATCACGACAAAGAGATGCGCCACTTAAATATCAACATTACCCCATGACCTCCAGGAGAAAGTCCCCCTATGTTAGGCCCTCGTGCTACGTGGTCCTTATCTGTGTTCCCAGTTCTCCACACCTTCGCGCCCACCGCAAGCATTTGTGCATTTTTATTTCGTGTGTGTGTGTGTGTGTGTGTGTTTCTGGCCTGAGAGCCCTGCTTCCCTATCCAGGCCCTGTTTCACCACCCATACCCTTCAAATCTCATTTATCAACATTTCAGAGTCCCTGGCCATCCATTCAGCATCCTTGCCCTGGAACTAGAGATTCTAGGTTATTTCTGTCCCTGCCCCCAAGATGTTTATCAGGATTGCATGGAATTTGAGCAAAATCATCTGTTACCTTAAATAAATCAGGGAAATGAGTCATTGGGATAGTCCTTTGAAAGAAGGAGTAACTGGAAACAGCAAAAGGAAAGCAAGAAGTTTGGGGGTTGGTGGGAGGTTGGGGGGTTGGGGCTGATAGGGTGGCAGAACAGAATCGTCTCTCGAAGGGCAGTTGGCACCCATGTGAACTAAGACATCTGACGGACTGGGTTGAGACGGGTGCAGAGGAGACCTCCAGGGGCGCCTGAGTGGCTCGGTCAGTTAAGCGTCCGACTTGATTTCGGCTCAGGTCACCATCTCACAGTTCATGAGATCGAGCCCCATGTTGGGCTCCACACTGACAGCCTAGAGCCTGCTTGGGATTCTGTCTCTCCTTCTCTCTCTCTCTCTCT